CCGCCGCTTCCGCTTCCGCCCCGCCGCCGCGTTGCCGAGCACTCGGCCGTACCGGGGGGCCGCCGGCAGCAGCGGGTGATGGTGCCGCTGCGCGCTTTCGAATTACCTCACCGCCCGACATTTCCTACCCCCGCCCCCCATTCCCTAAAACTTTTCCCTCTCCAAATAACAAAACCGAAAATCACGGCTGCCTGACGCAGCACGGGAGGTTTTCCAGGAGGAGGTGTTTGCCGTTTCCGAGACAAGGACCCCCCACCCACGGGTGCTGCGGCTGAGCATCTCGGAGCTGGTGCTGGGAGAGCGACCTGGTCCCAGTTGGGGCGCTGCTCCATCCACTGAAGCTGTGGTGATTTCCCACTAGGTTTTAGGCAAGTAGCTTGCTTCATCTGCCCGTGGTTAACTAAGTGACTGCTGTGGCCAGCTGGGAGCATTTGCTATGGGTACAACGGGAAGGTACCCTGGAGCGGTTCATAGCGGTGAAGGAAAAGCAGGGCACTGGGAGTGTAACAGTGCTATCGCCCGTAGGCCAGCCGGGCTGGGAAGGTAAAGGGCGTACTGGGTGAGCACAGTTGGCTACGTGCTGTATGGATGATGCTGAGAGGGGCATTAGGAACCTGTGCTTGTAAATGGTTGCTAGAAACGTGTCAATGTTAAATGAAAATACTCAAAATTCCTATTTTTTCGATGCAGGTAATGCCACCAATGCGAGTGAGCAAGTAACACCAAGTCCAGGGAAGACTAAGTGCATATATCTTAATTTGTAAGCACACACTAGTACCAAGAAATTTGGAATCTGAATACCCTTTTATTTACAAATTTTAAGATACATGTCAAAACACAGCATAGCCACAAAGCCCTAAAATACAATGACATTCATACTGTATTCTGCCATGACACATCGATGGGAAAGGGCGTACTTTGTGCAAAGACAAGTTCCAAAACTCATTCCACTGTACAGGGGTGTGAGCTGTGACAGCAGCTAAGTAAAAACGGTCTCGGAACAGTCCCAAGCAATGCCATCTTTCCCAACAAGCCACTGTCAAGTTTTACACTTACATGTCCCATTCCCCCAGGAAACTGAGGGACTGATGACTTAAGTGAGTTACTGAGAGCTCACAGAAGCCATTTCACATGCCACTTGCTACACGGCTCAGGATTTTAAACTGATAATCTTCCTTCACCATTAATAGCAGCCAGACATTCACCCAGCACAGCCAGACAACAGGCCCAGCGAAACACCCGAAAGACAACCACCCAAAGACTGGGGGACGAAAGCATGGAAGGAACTTAACACAAGGTCACATGTGCTGCTGAGCGTTAGCAAGGGTTTCAGAGAAACAGTTGGAAACATTGACACATTTAAATGTGTTTCTTGCACATTTTCTTCACTGGCATTTTTGTCAAGGCAAAGGTGCTTTCAATACAAATTAGGTAGCCCACAAAAACATGGCAAATTTGGCAGCTATCTACTCTCTTCACCATTCCTTTAAAAAGAAAACCCTCAAGAGGGCAGCAGTTAAATAAAAGAAGGCCCAACTTCCTTCAAAACCCTCCAAACCACCTTCTGCCCTTGTCACACACCAATAATCACTATTTATCCCTGAGCGACCTCTGACAAGACCTGGCCCTAGGCCAGAAAGTCAACATTTCAGGAGCTGGTTTGGATGCAAGAAATCCAGCAGCAAGGGTAGTATGAGCTTGTCCTTGGGCTGGACCTGAGCCACCTCCCATGACAGTCTGCTGCGCTAACAAGAGAGTAAGGGATCCTTCTCCCTCCTGCAGGGACTTTGCAGCTTTAGCACCTGGAAACTCAGGCAGATTGTTCCCACTGTTTCAGCCACCTGCATCAAGAGGAGAAAAGCAGAACGATGTTATGGACAGGCTAACAAAACCACAGAGGTAGTCACTGATCATATGCTTCCTTTATTGTGATTCATTATATGACCATATGCTGCTAAAGCTGTGCACTTACACCTCTGTGTTTCACAGATGAGACATATTCAGTAAGGTTTATTTTTCCCCCACTTCTATTATCAGGATTGCTTCCCATCTCAATGGTTTTTCTTCTTTCTCCCTAGCAGCATTAAGCCGTCACATCACATGAATATAAGTGAGTGACAAATCCACTCATATAGATTAAGAGCATGTGCAGCATTGGTGAAGAGATTTCAGAGACAGCAGTTGCTCCCTCTCCTCAAAAAGGAAGGTTCCAATAGAGCCGATTAACATTTTGAAGCACAGCCTCTGAAGACCCTTCCAGAGCACCTTGTCTCCTTCCCTCTTTATTCTCCTCAACTTCTGCTCCCTCTGTGCAGTCCTTCTGCCCAGCCTCAGTGAGGAAAGAGGGGAGATCGTGACAGTAAAAACCCTCAGCTAAGCACTGCAGTTCTTGGTTTCAAGAGGATGAGACAAACTCCAAGACATACAGCAAACTCCCTGGAAAATGCTGAGCAACAATAGGTAACAATACCCCAATAGAAAAAACACAAACAAAACCACAAAATTTTTTATACGAGTTTTCTTTCAGACAATATTGCTTAGAGAACCGCCTGTCTTTCAATGGACAAGAAACTATTAAAACCACATTTAAAAGCCTCAGCTTTAAACAATATGGAATGCCAAGATGCAAGGCTGAGTGAAGGTTCAAATAGAGTGGTGGAGTTGAAACTCAGTACTTCATTCTTAAGACTACAAGTCAACCACAAAGCCAGGACTTTTGCTAAACCTCCTCTCCCACTCCTCTGTTGTGCTTGGAGAGCACTGAGGTATCAACAGCTCCATTAAGTAAATTTAGATTGCATGACATAGTTACTAAAAAGTTTCCCTAATGTTAAGCTTGACAAGCCCCCACAAATGCTTTTCTCCCTTCTTGCAGGAAAGTCCATTTTCTGTGATACACTTGTCAGTGCTGTACATATAACCCATTTTTTCAACTCCCCATGTGAAGGCAGCCCATTTCCCCTTTCTGTTATTCTATCAGCTTGCTCGACCCTAAACTTCATGAGCTTCTTAATTTGCAGCACATTAGCTCAGGAAAACAATTCACCTGCCACAGTAAACTTCAGTATCTGTAAAGAAAGCTGTGTGCTGTCCTCAGTAAGAAGCCTGTCTTGACTAGGTGGCCTAACCAAGAATGTGAAGTGTAAAAGGATTTTCCCACTGCACCTCCTAACCAGGTAAGTGTTCATGAAACTATCCACTTGAAAGACACCAGAAATTAAAGCCACCAGAAGATTACACTGCAGAAATTAAAGCTTACCTTTCACAGACAGGTGTGATCATCTCCATAAGGCTAGTGCTCAACTCTAGGGAAGCTGGCTTCTGTTGCATCGGGAATCAAGGTCCCTGACAACTGTAAATTGGGAAAGAAAAAAAGAGAGTGTCAATTTCCAAGTGTAGTATAATAAATAGAACAATCAAAAGCTGCCTTCTAGGGACATATGCAATGCCAACATGCAAGTTAAAACAAATCTGGTTTTTGATCAGATTTCAAAAATACTTCTCTTCCCATATAGTCTGTCAAATCTCACCTGGAAGCAAGGTAGCCAAAGTGACTGCCTGTGGAATTACTTACCTCTCAAACAACACCTCAATATTACTGAGGAACTAATCTTTAAAGAGAGTTGCAAGTTTTCCCCTTCTCTCCCTATGCCTGGCTCCTATGCTTTTTCCCTCCCTAGCTCACCTGGCCCCTCAACACCTAACACAGCCAGAACAGATCTCCTCAAGACGTATGTCCCTCATGGACTCTCTTCAACTCTGGTAAATCAAGCTTACTTCCACCTTGATCCAGCCAGCTGAAACAGCAACAATTCATGGTGTCTGAATCTAGTATTTAGCTAACCTCAGAGAGACAAATAGAGCCTCATGTTTCATCCATGACCCTTCTCTTTTCCCCTAGTGTAAAGCCTCAGGTCCTTTTATTTAGACAGTTAAGAAACCAAAGCAAGTTCTGCTTCTGTTAAGAGTCACACAGCAAATTTGTGGGTCATGCTGCTTAGAAAGTCCTGAACCAAACAAATACAGAGCAGCACAAACCATTGTATTGCTTTGTTACCTGCTGTGAGGCCAGACTTGGGTTATGGAGGTCAATAGCAGCAAGGGAGGGTACACGGGACTCCGAAACTGTTTTATTTTCCTTTCTCAGAAATCGGGGATGCCACACTGCAAAACACAACCAATGCATGTTAAGGAAGCAAGAGATGATGGTTTTAATGTAAGCTGCTTCATGCCACTTATTTAGTATCCATGTTTTATTTAGAGGACATCAAAGCTCATACCTTCCACTCCTCTCAGTTCAGGGAGATGATTTAGTTCTGGCAAACGCACATCTGTTCTGGAGAATTCCCATTTTTTCCTATTTGCGTGAAGGATGTTTTTTTCATTAGTAACCTGTAATCAAGGGCATAAGCACCAGCTCAGGAAAATATAGAAAAAACAAAGCTACTTTCAAGCTTAAAAATGAATCAACACAGAAATGTTCTGCTGCAGTTGGAACTTGCACAAGAGTAAAAGAAAAGACTCTGATGCCTATGAAGGAACCCATTCTGCACAAGTGTCATTTATACAGTATAAATTATGGAACACGTACAGCAAAAAAACCCCAATCATCTAAGTGAGACTGCTTTCAGAGAGACAAAATAGAGCCCTTGGAGAATGGCTTGGATTAGCTATCTGCAAAAAGGCAAATGTTCCTGTAGGTGTGGAAAAAATATTGCCTATGTAGTGAGGCGCGGTGGAAAGCTTTCCATTTCACTTGTTTTCATTATCAATTTTTAATGCATTTATGACATGACTAAATAAGGCCCTGACCACGTTAAATCCAAATCCTCAATTCTGCTTCAGTAGCACAGCACACACCGTCTACTTTTCCTGGCTAGGCAGGAGGCCATGGATATATTTCACGTCTCAGACATCCTGTGCTGGACTGCTCCCCTCATTTAAAATTGCCTTCTGAAACAAAATATGTTTCATATAAAAGATGACAGATCACACACCTGTAGGAAAAAAGGGGTAAAGAAAATAATATTTCTAGTTGGGTGTTATGGTGAAGGCTGCAACAGATGGGATTCTTGACAATAAAACACATACTTGAGTTCAGAATTTATTTTTGCTTTGCCA